GACTTCTTTAACCTTGGCTCTATTATATTTCCTCTGCCGGCGGACGCTACCGCTGCGCTCTCCTTCACCCTGGAATCTGGTGCATCCGCCTGCTTCTTTCGCAACCACACCGACCTCACGCCGCTTGCCGCCCCAACAGTTGTCGCCCTTGCTGAACCTTTCTTAGGTCCGGTAGTTGCATGTAGTTTCACCACCCTTCCGTGTCTGGCAGTTCCCTCAGGCTCCCTTGCGGGCCTGTACATCCCCTCGTTCTCTAGGAACCTAGTTGGTGTCGGCTGTCTTCAGGATCTCGGCGTCACCACTACGTTTCCTGGGCACGAGCGGTACACGGTTTGTACCGAGGCCGGCACAGGTGCCCCCCCTATCCACGTTCCCCCGGGACCCTGTGTCCAACCTGTTCATGGTGGACACTGCGTTCCCCCAGGTGGCTGTGTCTATCCAGGTCGCTGCGACTTGCTCGTGTCGGTCGCTCACTCACCCGTCGCTACTGTGGCACCGCCGCCTAGGTCACCCCGCATTCTCGCGTCTACGTCATATGTGTTCAGTACGGTCTTGTCTCAAGTCTTCCAGCATTGCTCCCCGCCCTCCCTCCCTTGCCCGCGCCTCCGTGCACGCCTTGCCTCGAGGGCCGGCTGCGCCATGCCCCTCACTCCTCCTCGTTTCCCCCCACCACTGTGCCACTCCTGACCCTGCACTTGGACGTCTAAGGCCCAGCCCCCGTCCTTGGGCCGCGTCGCTGTTGGTGCAACCCTATGGCTTGCACTCGGCTTGTCGTCCTTGTTTGTGTGTGTGCATGCATGGCATGGAATGAATTGTGAGTCTATGTCATTGCTATCCAGTGCTTGTGTGTGTGTTTGAATGGTGTATCACAATGTGGTTTGTGTCGGTCAAGACATTAGCGAGTTTTTACAACTCGCATGTCAAGTCGTCGTTTGTGTGTCGCATGTGTTTTTTTATTTTGTCGAGTGTGAAGTGTCCATCACGTTGCAGGTGTGCGCAGCAAGCCCCCATCAACTCAAGAAGAATTTATCTTGCAGATCCAAGACCAAGAGTTCAAGATTTCAAGCCCAAGGGACACGGATAAATATTAAATAGTGAAAATAATAACGCTACTTCGTGTAGTGTTACATTTCACTTGGTGTAGCCCCTTGGAGGGTTGGTTTCGAGACTCTTCATGGTTGGGGACTCTGTGGTGGTGTACCACCAACCTGGACCTCGGCTCCTGGGGTATGTAGAGGCTGGGAACCATCTCCCTCTCCAATTCTTCTTCCTAAGTTTTTTGTACTCCTAAGACTATAGTGGCTGCTTTACCCCCTGCCAGTCAAACCGCCATAGCGTCGTCAAATCTTCATGGAATTTCATGATTCAACTTGCTGCGGATAGACGACAGCACCGCACTCTAGATCCAATTTACAGATCACCATTTAAGTCCGCGAGAAGATCGTTATCAATATTTGAAGCCGTCTAACGGAAATCCGACTGTGCTCTCTATCTCTCATTATTGGCACATCTGAGCCTATTGTGACTATAACAAGTGGTATCAGAGCCCCTTGGAGCCGTCTCGACCATGCCTAGACCTGAGGAAGAGGGTGGAAGAGGTGCTGGAGGCAGAGAAGACGTCCAAGCACAAGGTCAACACCAAGATCCACCCCTTGCTCCGGTGCAACCTAGTCTTGGCCCCTCTAGGGATGAGCCTAGAGAGTTTGGCCTTGACAAGTTCAACGGTGACAACTTTGCTGAGTGGTCTTTCAAGATGGAGAACATCTTTGACCACTATGATCTGCTGGAGGTGATGAAAGGAACGGAGAAGCGCCCCGAGAACGACCCGGAGAAGAGCCCGTGGGTGCGGAAGAGCGCACAAGGCTACCTTCTATTTGGGCAAGCGTTGGGGAGCAGCCCAATCCGCCACATCAAGCCTTTTCAGCGGGAACCAGCAAAGGGACCAAAGGCATGGGCTGCTCTCAAGGGTGTACACGCTCCTGCAACAGCGGCGGTGGCTGTGGTTTGATGGCGAATGCCACTTTTGTCACAAGACCGGCCACATGTGGAGAGATTGCTTCAGATTGCCTGATGGATGGACCCCTTCTCAAATCCAAGAGGGCAGAGGAGCAAGGAGAGGAAGAGGCAGAGGTCGTGGAGGCCGTGGTGGCCGTGGAGGCGAAGCGGCAAGCATGAAAGGTGGAGACTACGACAAGGACTCGAGTGAAGATCGATACCCGGGCCAATTCTTCTTTGTCTCCACACAAGCGGCAGCTGCAGCAGGAGGTGTGGATGGCTTTGAGGAGCCAGCTACTGTGGGAAAGGTCACCCTTCACTCTCTGGACTTTTGGGTGATCGATAGCGGCGCCACCTATAGCATGACACCTCGTGCGGACTTGCTCACCGAACTCGAACCGTCGCTGGTCAAGCATGTTACATCGGCTTTGGGGCAGCGAGCAGAGGTGAAAGGCATGGGCAAGGCCATGTTCAAGGGTGCTGATGGGAAGATGGTGGGCCTCAAGAACGTGCTTTGGGTGCCCAACCTAGCAGCCAACCTGATCTCTGTTCGGCGTTTGCAAAAGGCCAGCATGGACACATCCTCCAAGGGCTCCAAAACATATACCGCGAGGCTTGGTGAGCGGAAGCTTTGGGACCTTCATGAGGACAGGGACATCTACAATGAGATGTGGCAAATCCCAGTGGTCCCCATGCCTAAGGGGAGGCAAGTGGCAGCAAGCATCAGCACCAAGAGTGAAGCGGTTGGTGGCGGTGATTACGGAAAACAAAGTGACACCAAGAGTGACTCGAAGGAGTGCAACCTTGGAGAGACCAGCAAGGCGTGTGAACCCAAGGAGAGTGGTGCAGCAGGCAAAGGTGGTGGAAATGAGGAGGAGAAGCCTAAGATCAGCAAAGCAGCAGCGGCAAAGGAGAAAGGAGAGAGCTTGTGGGCCACAATTGCGAGTGCCGCTTTCTCCAACCCGACTTCCGCTACGGGAGAGTGTGATTGGCTGACCTTGCATCGGCGAATGGGGCATGTGGCATTGCCCATTTTGCAGCAGATAGTTAAGCAAGAGATGGTCAGTGGGATACGTGTCAAGGGGGAGCCCAATGAGGTGCTTGGCTGTCCAACATGCATGCAAGCCAAGTTCACCCGCTACCCGTTCCATAGCTCGGAGACAACGGCGAAGGCACCACTTGATGAGGTGGTGATGGATGTGGTGGGCCCCTTGAAGCTTGGAGCTGCTGGAGCTGAGTACTTCCTCACCATTGTGGACGTCTACACTCGCATGACTTGGGTGTATGTGCTGCCCAAGAAGAGTGATGTAGCTGAAATGGTGAAGACCGATTGGTTGCCGATGGTGGAGCGGCAACAAGACCGGCTTGTGAAGGCAAATTCGCACTGACCGTGGGGGAGAGTTCCTGAGCAAGGATTTCTCAACTTGGCTGAAGAAGCAGGGCATAAGGCGCTCTCTTACCATGCCCTATTCTCCTGCAATGAACGGCATCGCCGAGCGTGCGAATCGGACACTCACGGAGACGGCTCGGGGACTTCTCATTGAAGCCGGTCTACTGAATTACTTTTGGCCGGATGCGGTGCGGCATGCTTGTGTGACCAAGAATAGAGCCTTGACTCTCGTGGGAGACGACAAATGGGTGCCCTATGTCGAGTGGATCGGAAGGAAGCCGAAGGTGGATATGCTTCGGGTGTTCGGGTGCATGTGCATGGCACTTGTGCCTAAGAAACTTCGGCACAACAAGCTTGATGCCAAGGCAACATGGGCCGTGCACCTGGGCATGGCGCATCTGAGCCTATTGTGACTATAACAGTCGCGAGTGCTACTTTTTGGTGCTCGTAGACGACTACACGTGCTACACCATGGTATTTCCCTTGGAGGGGAAGGCCGACGTGCCTGACGTTCTTATCCCGTTTGTGGTTGCTGCTCAAGTCCACCGCGCCCTGCCAGTGCTCCGTCTCCACTCTGACCGTGGCGGTGAGTTCGCCTTTGGCCGGCTTGGCAAGTTCTGTCGTGCGGAGGAAATCACCCAGTCGTACACATAGTCGGACTCCATGTAGTAGAATGGGGTCGTTGCAGAATGGGTTCGCTGAGTGACGCATAGGGTTGGTTATGGGGGTGGCTCGTACCTGCATGATCCATGCCGGTGCACCCACGCTGCTCAGCAGCTTAACCTGTTGCCGTACTCCCAACGGCCGTAGGTTTTGTCGACCCTCCTTTGGACCGGGTCCCTTAGCGACGCGTCTGCATTTTACGTCTGGTGTTGCCTCGCTCACATCCGCGACTCTTGCGTGGACAAGTTCACTGCCTGCACCGTCTCTTGTGTCTTTCTTGGATTCCCCCTGGACGCGTCTGACTTGCACTTCTACCACCCGCCGTCTCACCATTTCTTTCACTCGCATGCCATTACCTTTGACGAGTCTGTCCCCTTCTACATCCACTTTTCCCACCGAGGTCTTTGGGTTACCCCTCCCATGTTCCTTGTCCCCACTCCCCCGGTAGCTCTCACTCTGCATCTTGCCCCATCTGGTGTGTCTCACGTCACTCCCCTTCCCTTGATTGCCCCGGCGGAGGGGTCTCCTGACTCTAGAGGCCCTGAGGCTCAGGGTCCGCTGCCTGTTTCTGCGGTGCCTGCACCCTTGGCCCCGGTGTCTCCTTCGCCATTGCAGCAGCAGCACCCGCCACAACAACCGCCGCAGCAGCCATCGTAGCAGCTGCCACAACAGCAGCAGCAGTCGCCGCCACCGTCGTGTTAGGATTAAGGACGGAGTCTAGGTGAACTTAGGAGCTAGAATTACTCAAAATATAAATCCGAAATTCTGGACAGAAAAGTCGTCTTTACAAGAAACGACGTCGACGAAAAACTAGCCGTTGGAATGTCGCGAAACTTGGATATGTTGTAGCTCTTAATCTCAGCTACCGTTCCCAATTTGAATCACGTTGATTGATGAAGTATTCGCGACGCTATGGCTTTCGACGCATTAGGGGGTAAGCTGTAGGAGGAGAACTTAACTCAATCTCAAAGGTTCAATCAAAGTTCAAGAATCTCACAAGGAATTAGAAGGAGCAAGAGAAAGGTTGGGATAGGAAGAGAGGGATGAGAGGGAAGGTCCCAAGAGAGTCCCCAACCAAGGAAAACCCCATAAGCACAAAGATTCCCTCCCTATAGGAACCCCAACTTTGACATTTGTCCCTTCCCAACCAATCCATCCAAGTTGGCCACCCTTGCCAACCTAGCTTGGTTGTTCCCAACCAATTTGCAGCTGTTACAGTAGAGTGACAAGTTTCCCCAACCCCAAAGGTCCCAACTCCATATAAAGTCACCCCACAACTTCACTTAGTAACCGCCGCAATTGTAACGCAAGCTCATGAACTTTGAATCTTCATAGCTTTCGCGTTCTTGCTCCGATTGAAGCGATTCTTGTTGCGTCGGAAAGATCTTCTCAAGATCTATTATCACAAATACCTGCTCAGACAGAATAACACAAAACACATTCCCAAACTCCAGAACACACCACACACAAATGCTTGCACATTCAAACCACACATGCAAGTTGAAAAAACATGGGATGGGAGGCAGACAGAATGTGATAGCATATGATGACATCACACAACAATCTCCCCCTCTGGCTGCCAACCATCATCGACCATACCACATCTCAAGCATGCATACTCAATGCACACTCATCCCAGCAAGCTTCATGCCCTTCCAATGATCCGCCTCCGCCAGACGCTTAGTGAAAATATCTGCTGCCTGCTGATGGGTCTTCACTATCTCCAGCCGCACCTCCTTATCAAGGAGTCTCCTCACCCAATGCCACTTAGGCCTTATGTGTTTTGTCAGCCCATGCAGACAAGCATTCTTGGCGAGCTTCACAGCGGACTCATTGTCACAAAACACAACTGTCGGCTTCTCCTGACCAACTCCCAACTCCTCCAACAAACGCCTCAGCCATACCACTTCCTTGGCCCCATGGTGTAAGGCCATGTACTCAGTCTCACATGAAGACAATCCCACCTCATTTTGCTTCTTGCTGCGCCAGCTCACAGCACCACCTCCTAGCAAGCACACATAACCCCCAATGCTGGTGCCATCCGCTTTCACTGAGTTGAAGCTAGCGTCAGTATAGCAACTCAAGAGCATCTCTCCACTCTTCACATCTGCAGCACCTCTCTGCAACCGCTGCCTCACTCCACTGTACTCCAATCCCACTGATGCCGTAGCACTCACATAGCGGACCAACCTCTTGGCCGCTTCCAGCTGCTCATGACTAGGGCGTGAGACCACACTAGCCAACCGTGATGTAGCAAATGCAATGTCAGGCCGTGTATGATTTGCAGCATAATTCAGCGACCCAACCATCGAATGAAACAGCTTCCTGTCACTATCACCCACTACCTCCTCATCAGCACATGGCTCCACAGTGAACCCCGAAGGTAGTGGTGTTGCTGGCTTTCCCCCATCTTGCAGCCCATACTTCTCAGCCAGCCCCTCACAGTACTTCCTCTGGTGCAACCTCAGCACACCCTTTTCCACATCTCTCTCCACGTGCATCCCCAAGTAGTACTTCACCTCACCCATCTTGGAGCACTTGAACTGCATCTCCAGCATCTGCTCTGCGCTGTCCAGCAAAGCAGTGGATGCAGAAAAGAGAAGGATATCATCCACATACACCAAGAGCATGAGGATTTCATCCTTCTCCTGCAGCAGGAACAGGCTGGGGTCACACTCACTCTTCTTGAAACCCCCAGCCAACAGCGCCTCCTCCAACTTGTGATACCATGCACGAGGCGCCTGCTTAAGGCCATAGATGGCCTTCTTCAGCCTGCAGACCCTGCCGCTCCCGTCATCCAGCCCCTCTGGCTGCTTCATGTACACCTCCTCCATAATGATCCCATTCAGAAAGGCAGTCACAATATCCATCTGCCGAATCTTCCATCCCAGGAGTGCAGCTATCGCCAACAGCACCCTCAGTGTTGTTCCTTTCCCCACAGGAGCAAACACCTCATCATAGTCCTTCCCCTTTGTCTGCTGAAACCCCCGTGCCACAAGCCTAGACTTGTAGCGGGTCAGCTCCCCTTCAGGTCCATACTTGTGCCTGTAGATCATCTTGGAAGTGATTGCCTTCTTTCCAGGAGGCAAGTCACACAGGTCCCATGTCTCGTTCTCAATTAGGGACCCGAACTCCTCATCCTCACTCGCCTTCCACTTCTCCCCATTTGGTCCATTCAAGGCCTCTTCTCGAGTCTTGGGCTCAGGGATTGGTGCCCAGTAGCAGTGAGCGATCTCATCTTCCTCAATCTGCTCAACCACACTCCCAGCCTGCACCACATTCGGCTTGCCTCTTCCCCCATAGGTCAGCCTCACTGGAGGGCGCACATCCCTCCTAGGACGCTCAGGCGGGTGTGGAACTCGAGGTGGAGACTCATGCTGCTGCTGCTGCTGCTGCTCTACTTCAGCTGCTCCCCCTTCCTCAGTCACCCCAGACATCTCCTCCTCTGACACTGCAACCTCCACCTGTCTTGAAGGCTGCTGCACCTCATCTGCCTCCACAATGAGCGGTGTAGATGGAAGCTTCTGTTGCTGCTGCTTCCATTCCTTGTAGTACAGGGACTCAAGAAACTTCACATCCCTTGACACTGTCAACTTCTGGGTGGTCAAGTCCCATAGCAGCCACCCCTTGTGATCCTTTGCAATCCCCAAGTGCACACCCCATCTTCCAGAAGCCTCCAACTTCCCCCTTTTCTCCTTAGGCACATGAAACACCACCATGCACCCAAATGCCCTCAGCATGTTCACAGCTGGAGCACTCCCATACCACTTGACGTATGGGATCCACTCCTTATCTCCAACTGTAGCCAGCACCCTGTTCTTCACAAGGGCGACCTGCCTCAGTGCAGACACCCAAAACGGATCAGGCAGCCCTGCACGCCCAAGGAGAGTGCGTGCCCCCTCCTGCAGGGTCCTGTTGAACCTCTCAGCCACGCCATTCTGCTGTGGGTTGTAGGGCACTGTCAGTTGATGCTGGATCCCCTTCCTCTTCAACTCCCCCTCAAAATCAGCTCCAATGAACTCCCCACCATTGTCACTACGGATCACCTTCACCTTGTGTCCGCATTCCCTCTGAGCTCTCGGCATCCACTCCTTAAGGACAGCCGCTGCCACCTCCCCCTTGCTCTTCAAAGGGTAAACCCACACTGCCCAAGTGTGGTCATCCACAATTGTCAAGAAATAGCGGCTGCCTGAGAGGGAAGGGGCTCTTGTGGGCCCCACCACATCCATGTGCACAAGTGCAAGTGGGGTCTTGGATGGTCCAGTTGCACTGTTGAAGGGGAACTTGGAGAACTTGGTCTCCAAGCATGTAGGGCAGCTCCCAATCTCCTTCACTTCCCCTTTCACCTCCAAGCCCTTCAGGCTCCCATTCTTCACCAACTTCTGCAGCATAGGGAAGTTCACATGACACAACCTCTCATGCCATGTCTCCCAATCGGCCTCTCCACTCCTTGATGAAGCCTTAGCCCATGCCGCACTCGCATCCACACCAGCAAGCACCTCACCATGTGTCTGCTGCTTCTGCACTTTCTTGACTGCTTCCAGCACCCCATCAGTTGGTGCAGTTGCATCTCCTCCTGCTGTTGCCTTTGCCACTGCTGCCGTTGCTGCTGTTGGAGTCTTCCCATTCCAAGGGATGATGGGCAGCTGCCACAGGTCCTTGATGCAGCTGGTCTCCTCTTCCAGACTCCACAGCACCTTCTTCCCAAGCTTAGCACGGCAGCTGGTTGGTCCAAAGGTCACTTCGGCCTTACTCTTCTGCAGCCGCCGCACAGAGAGAAGGTTAGCAGACAAGCCTTTAACCAGCAGAACATTCCCAAGCCCCACAAGCTCCCCATTAGCTCCCTTAACCTTGGCATTCCCAACACCAATCACGGGGAGCAAAGCACCTGACGCTGCTGCCACATACTTAATCTTCCCAGGGGGTTTTACCTCATCAAGCAAATCTGCCCGTGGGGTCATGTGACTGGTGCAACCCGAATCAATCACCCAGTGCGTGAGAGGGTGCATCACAACCTTTCCCACAAATCCCACATCACCCTCATGCCCATGCACATCCTCAACCATAAGAAACAAACCAGGATAGGCATTACCTTGTGCACCTTCACCTTGTGCACCTGAGCCTTGCACAGCGCCACCTTGTGCGCGTTCACCACTGGGTGGCTTCATGCCTGGAGGTGCCCATCCCTCCGGCCTGCTGAAGCACTTGAACCAAGGATGCCCTATCTTCTTGCAGTACCAGCAGGTGCCCTCCATTCTGGTACTCCCCCTGCCACTAGAGCTCCCATGCCCCTCATTATAGTCACCTCGGCCTCTACCTCTGCCAAAGCTCCTCCCACGGCCTCGGCCTCTCCAACCCCCTCTTCCTCTGCCGCGCCCTGCAGCTCCATACCCCTCAGCAGTCTTAGTGGCAGCACCGCCTCCCACATGGCGTCTGCGGAAGTCCTCCTGCAGAATCTGCTGCCTTAGCCACTCAGGTGTCCATTGATCTTGTTGAGAGTTGAGGGTGGGGATGAGGTTGTCCCAAGAGTTGTCCAACACCGAGATGATCTTGGTGCACTGCTGCAGCTGAGATACACTGCTGCCCGCTGCTGCCATCCTTGCATAGGTGTCCTTGATCTTGTCAAGGACCGGCTTCACATCGTCCCCTGGTCGCATGGAGATGGCAGCAAGTTCCTTCTCGAGCACGATCACCATTGGGAGAGTGTTGGGCTGAATCACATCGCGTAGTAGTTTCCACGCCCTTGGACCCGAATCATCCGCTTCCACAAGATCCTTGATGTGCTCGAACATCTCCTTGTTGACCGATTGAAGGATGAGGTCGAAAAGCACCCCGCTTTTCTCAATCCACCGTTCACGTGCTTCGCCTTCTTCCGGCATCTTCTCTTCCCCAACAGCAATCTTCAGTAGCTTGAAGCGTTTGAAGGCACTCCTCATCTGTCCGCTCCATTCCTCATAGTTGGAGCCATCCAAAGCTTCAACTTTTGATGGCGGCGGCTCACTTGTCTTCTCAGCTACAGCTCCTCTTCCATTAGCATCTCCTCCTCTCTCATTCATCTTCTCCTTGAGAAATGACGAATTTCAGCTCCCCTTTGCTGTCCACACTCAGCTCCCTCGATATTTTCACAAGTGTCGGCGTCCACGAAATTTCGGTAGAGTTTCCCCTTAGCGGAAGACACATCCAACCTTTAGAACACCACTTAGGCACACCCACAGGCCATGGTGGGTCTAGAAGGGTCTTCACACTTCTGTAGACTCCTCTCAATGTCCTTTATAAGGCTCTGATACCACTTGTTAGGATTAAGGACGGAGTCTAGGTGAACTTAGGAGCTAGAATTACTCAAAATATAAATCCGAAATTCTGGACAGAAAAGTCGTCTTTACAAGAAACGACGTCGACGAAAAACTAGCCGTTGGAATGTCGCGAAACTTGGATATGTTGTAGCTCTTAATCTCAGCTACCGTTCCCAATTTGAATCACGTTGATTGATGAAGTATTCGCGACGCTATGGCTTTCGACGCATTAGGGGGTAAGCTGTAGGAGGAGAACTTAACTCAATCTCAAAGGTTCAATCAAAGTTCAAGAATCTCACAAGGAATTAGAAGGAGCAAGAGAAAGGTTGGGATAGGAAGAGAGGGATGAGAGGGAAGGTCCCAAGAGAGTCCCCAACCAAGGAAAACCCCATAAGCACAAAGATTCCCTCCCTATAGGAACCCCAACTTTGACATTTGTCCCTTCCCAACCAATCCATCCAAGTTGGCCACCCTTGCCAACCTAGCTTGGTTGTTCCCAACCAATTTGCAGCTGTTACAGTAGAGTGACAAGTTTCCCCAACCCCAAAGGTCCCAACTCCATATAAAGTCACCCCACAACTTCACTTAGTAACCGCCGCAATTGTAACGCAAGCTCATGAACTTTGAATCTTCATAGCTTTCGCGTTCTTGCTCCGATTGAAGCGATTCTTGTTGCGTCGGAAAGATCTTCTCAAGATCTATTATCACAAATACCTGCTCAGACAGAATAACACAAAACACATTCCCAAACTCCAGAACACACCACACACAAATGCTTGCACATTCAAACCACACATGCAAGTTGAAAAAACATGGGATGGGAGGCAGACAGAATGTGATAGCATATGATGACATCACACAACACGTCGTAGCAGCAGCAGGGGTTCGGGAGCTCTGGGGATGCTGGCGCTGATGAGGGTGCTGGTTTTGGGGGTGCTGGTTGTGGGGGTACTAGTCTTGGGGGTGCAGGTTTTGTGGGTACTAGTCCTAGGGGTGCTATCGTGGCGAGTTTTAGAGGTAGCCGTGGTGCGGCTGGCGGTTCTGGCGTTGGCGTAGAGCAGCAGCAGGAGCAGCAGTTGCCGCCGGTCTCCACCCTTCGCCTCCTCAGATTTTCCTCCCTCGACCGGCTGCCCGCGTCTCCCCAAACGCCGCCTCCTCCGCCTGTCTACGGCCCTGTGTTTCCTCCACAGGACACGTTCCCAGCTCGTTTCCCCCCTTGTTCTCCTCCTTTCTCTCCGTTCTCCTCCTTTGGGACCGAGTGGTTGCTTCGGCGCCTGGTTTACAGTCTACGGTAGGCGGGATTGGCATGACACGCTGCGTGCTACTTTAACAGACCTGCTACTCTTCTCGTCCTCTGTTGACCCTTCGCTCTTCGTTCGCTCATGCCAAACTCTGTTCTATTTCCTAGTTTACGTAGACAACCTGGTCTTCGCTACTGCAGACAGAGTCGCGCTGGCCTCTGTGAAGCTTGAGCTGCTGAAGAGACCCACCTGCACTAACGTAGGAGAGTTGCGCCGCTATCTTGGACTGCAGATCTCTAGGGAAAGAGCAGCGTGCACTCTCATACAGCGTGGACATCCCTACTCCGCGCTCTTACGCTGATGCTGTGTCGGGGCCCTGGGCAGCCCAGTGGATACAGGCCATGGAGGTTGAGATGACATCCTACAGATCCATAGGCACTTACGTCGATGCAGTTCTAACGTAGTCGATGGCAAGTGGATCTACAGGGTGAAGCGCGCACCTGGAGAGCCGCCAAAGATTAAGGCGCATTATGTGGCTAGAGGCTTCAGTCAGCATGAGGGTGTGGCACGTCATGCTTTGCTCCACTCTTGCTGAGCTGCATTTCTTCCCGTCCTCTGCAGACCCCTCTCTCTTTGCTTGCACCGGTCAGACACCGTTCTACATTCTCGTGTACGTAGATTATCTTATCTTTACTACTCCTGACAGAGTCGCACTAGCCTCAGTTTTGGCCGAGTTACTTAGGAGACTCACCTGTACAGACTTGGGGGAGCTGAGGCGCTATCTGGGCTTGGAGATCTCTCGTGACTGCACTACTCGCACGATAACACTCTCTCAGTCCCATATGGTGCAGCAGATCCTCCAGAGGTTTAGTCTCCAGTTCTCCTCAACACAACCCACCCCTCTGCATGTGGATCACAAGCTCTCTGCTCCTGTTCCGGCTGAGTCGGTCGAGGCTAGTGGTTCATATGCAGAGCTGGTGGGGTGCCTCATGTACCTGATGACCTCCTCTCGACCAGATCTAGCGTACCCTCTAAGTCTTCTGGCTCGCTTTGTCACGACGGGCAGGCACCGACCAGTCCACTAGTCGGCTGGCAAGAGGGTACTGCAGTTTCTGGTGAGTACATCAGGACTGGGGCTTATGCTAGGAGGACAAAAGCCAGTGGTGCTCACTGGACACACAGACGCGTCGTGGGCCGATGACGTGGAGACGCTCCGGTCCTCTCAGGGCTACTGTTTTAGTCTTGGTGCTGGTGCAGTCTCGTGGAGGTACACCAGGTCATCATCTGTAGCTCAGTCTAGTTGTGAGGCAGAGATCTACGCGGGGTCCATGGCTGCTCAAGAGCTCCGCTGGCTGTTGTTCTTGCTCATTGACTTAGGTGAGCAGCCTAGGTCTGCCCCAGTTCTGTTTGCTGACAACAAGGCCATGATCCTCGTGTGTCAGGAGGCTTCACTTGAGGGCAGGGCGAAGCACATCCAGCTGCGGGAGTTCCTGCTGCGTGAGTTGCCGCAGCGTGGTCAGGTTCGTATAGTACAGTTGGCCTCAGACGCCAACATTGCTGATATCTTCACCAAGGCACTTGTGCCTCATGACCATCAGCGGTTCTGTACTCAGCTTAGTCTAGCCTTAGTAGCAGCACCACTTCTTGTATCCTGAGTCATATTATACTTGCTTGTACTTGTTGTTCTATACCTGCTGGTCTTGCTACACTTATTGACTGGCCTTGTGGCCTCTTATCTCAGTGGTCAGACTAGTAGTGCTGCCCTTGGTTTTCTTATTATACTCTGTAGAGGTCAGACTAGTAGTGCTGCCCTGGTGTACTTTTCTTTGTTATGATCTGCCACTATCTCGGCTAGGGGTGTGTCAACAAATACAATTATCTAGGCTAGCTAGTTTAAATTTGTTATAGCCTTAGTTGAGTCAGTTCTTAGAGGGTACTGTCCTACCTTTGTAACCCTCGACATTTCCCCCTAGTGCACCATTCTCTTGACAATCTAACAGTCATAAGAACCGACCCCCGACCCGATATTTCTTTTCCAAGCGAGTCCTTGCTGCCCAACAAGCGGCTGGTGGTGGGTAGAGGGCATCTGCTTGGCGGGTTGGACTTACTCGATTTACAAAGAAACGTTTGGAGCCAGCTTTTGGTGCAGTGCTGTGTGTTTGTTATGTGTATAGCCCAAACGAACCATTCATGGATCAAATGGGGGGGGAATGTTAAGATAGGGCTAGGAATTAGGCTTTGGACTAGCGATTGGTTTAGCTAGGGTAGGAGAAAGTTGATGAGAGAAAAAATCGGGACTAAGAAAGAGAAGTTGATACAAGAAGGGGGGGTTGTCCCCTCTACAGTAGGATTCCGTAATGCAGCAAACCTACCAAGCCCAACAAACATATATAATATATATATATATATATATGATTTAACACACCCTCTAGGCTTGGTTGTGACAAGCCCACCCCCACACGCAGCACTCCCACACCCTTGCACCCCCCATGCCCTGCAGCAGCTGTGGCGTTGCCAGCCTAGTCGACCTCTCAACGTGCGAGGCGGCGACGTCAGCGGCGGGGGCAGCGGCGGCGGCGGTGGCAGCGGCGGCGGCGGGGACGATGGTACGACGACAGCGTCGGCTGCGACGGCGGGTGGCGGCGGAGCCAGCGACACCTGCGACATCGGTGGCGGCTTCGACAACGGCGGCGGCGGCGACGGAGACCGCGACATCCGGAGACGTGGCCCAGCTCAGCAACGACGGGGCCGCATGACGCGGGACAGCCATTGGTTGCGGCAGGGAGAAAGGGAAATACTGAGGAGGGGGGGCGAAGCTGCAGCGAGACGCCATGGCGGCATGGTGCTGGCTGGCATGCGGTCGAGCTGGCCGGCGCTAAAACATTGCGCGGCCCGCTGCCGCCCGTCGACGACGCCACGGCAGCTCGACGACGCCACCACGGCGCGGCGTCGCTGCCTCGGCAGCATTTCGACACTGCCCCAGCAGCACGATGAAGCCGCCATGGCAGCACAACATGGCTGCCACGGCGGTGCGGAAGGGAGGAGAGGACGCTGCGGAAGCGTGAGGAGAAGGCCCGAGGGGAAGGGCCTGCTCTGATACCATGTTAAGAGAGGGCTAGGAACTAGGCATATGACTAGCGAGAGGTTTAGCTAGGGTAGGCGAAAAATGACAAGAGAAAAAAGTAGGAAGAAGGGGGGGTTGTCCCCTCTACAATAGGATTCAGCAATGTAGCAAACCTACCAAGCCTAAGTAACATATATATTGCTGGAAATACCTCGAAGACTTAAGCGTTTCTGAAGTGTAACACTACACTCGAAATGTCGTATCGAGTACACGAGTCAACGGAGGTTACACGAGGAGGTTGGATGAAAGAACACGAAAGGACGAAGGGACTCGAAGGGTTGCAACCGGAGGTTGCGACCGACCGTTGCGACTACAAGGATGGTAACCGAACCAACAATCGAGTCGCTGTGCAACTCGATATCCGTTTCTTCAACTATATTCTACAAACTGCTCTATTTCCTATTCTCTATATATTCCTGTATGCTTGCCTAATTTAAATCAATCACTTGCTCTCACATACTAGTGCAAGGGTTCAACTAATCAACACTTCCGCTGCACTACTCAAGCACTTCATACAAGTGGGACTCAGTCTCTGAAAAGATCCTAGGGCTTTTTCTCAGCCCAACATGGTATGAGAGCTGGTCAGAGACCAAACTCCCAGCAACAACGCTCTATCTACAGTCAAGCACATCAAGAGTTTCATCGATTACAAGTCATGGACAAGCAAGAAGACTTCTATGGGCTCACCCAGCGCCCAAGACACTCAACCCGGCAACTCTGGACTACACACTTCAGGACTACAAACTAGAACCGGCGCTGCTCAAGAAACAACAGGGAGGGTACTAGAAATGGTGACCCCTTCACCCTCTTCAAGCGTGGACCCGAACCTTATGGAAAGGTTTTTCAGCTTCATGTCACACTTTGACCAGCAGCAGCACACAAGGACACCTGCGCATTCAACACAGAGCAACGGAGGAAATATGGGATTAGCACCAATGAGCCTCGACAACTCATCATTCGGGCGGCACAATCAGGCACCTACCTTTGCACCTTATCACTCTTCATCGGGGACGTTCGAGTTTATGCTGCCCCTTGCTCAACCGACAGCAGCTGCATCACAGCAGACACCAAATCAGATATTGAGTCTCCAGGCGTAGTTTTCACATATGATCAAACTGCAGACATCCTCATCGTTCAACGGGCATGAGTTCTTTACCTGGAGCTTTGAGTTCGAGTTGTAGATGGAGGCCGCGCACCTCTTGGGATACTTCAGCGGGTCCCTGCCATTTCCAAGTAATGGCACTGCAAAAGAGCAGGAAATCTTCACTTAACAGTCGTTGCTGTTGTACACAGTTCACGCCGGTGCGGAGGAACAATCACTGAGGAAAGCTTCGTGACACTTGTTCTAGCCGGGCTCGGGCCAGAATGGAGAACCACCCACTCGCTTCGTCGCGCCCATGGATGAATTTCCGACATGCACCTTTGCGCCGAGCTTCATGCCGAAATACAGGAGATGGACCCGTTTGAAGAAAGACAACCACGGAACAAGCAGCGGCCATTAGTGTTCTATACTCATCGAAGAAACGGCAATAACTACAACCGACGTGATAAACAGACCCGACACGACACCAGAGGACTCACCATCGTGCCGCCGTTCTGCCACAACTATCAGACATCCGGGCACTCCAAAGTTGACTACACACGCCCTCGAGTTTATCGTCTAGCAGATCCGCAAATCGCCTCAACTCAAGAGAATCCGCCAAGCCGTTCCTCTACACCTGCACGAGACACACCAAACATCATCAACTGCATGGTATGGATCGACAGCTGCAGACCCGAGTCACCACCCACTTACGCTCCAGACAAAGAAGAACTGCCACCGCCATGCTCACAAGGTCTCCAGGTCAACCCGACGTACGCTGCAGTCGCCAACGCCGAACCCACCGGGCAAAACACCAAGTTCTTGGATAGCTGCTGCAGCCAACATATGTGTTCCTCCTGGCGCTTCGTGCAACGGGAGCGGCACCTCAACCGCGATGTCATCATCACCGTCGCCAACAATGAGAACCTGAAAACAAACAGACAAGGCGTCGTTCAGCTTCAGTCAATGGAGACAAACGTCATACTGCAACTTAACAAAAATCTCATCGTCGACAACTTGGGATACAATCTACTAAGCGTAAGCCAATTAATGGCAAAGGGTATTCACTTGGAATGCGATTCGGATGACAACGAGTTTTGTCTCTACCATGGGAAGGGCGGCCTCTTCATCGGTCGCGCTCTCCTGAAGTCGGGCGTCTTCGTGCTGGATTTCGTCCCCGACCGAGGTACTGCCGACAGCGATGGCATCGTGTCGTTTGCCGCCTGGACGCACCCGCCGGATCTTGACCCCGCTCTTACCCCAGATGGCTTTGGCACTCCAACACCATCCCTGCAGCAGAACGAACACGAGCATTAGCAGTCATCCATCAAGAACGACAAGTACCCGCAAACATCTTTCCTCCAACATCACCTGCAGTAGTAGCAGCAGAACCCAGCCATATGCTATCACCAACAATCCGAGGACCGCCATCCGAAGCAGATCAACTTACGCCCATCACCCGAGGAGTCTGCCGCAGTCCCGCCACGGTCGTCGTGTTCTTCTCCAACGCCGACGTGTACCAGCGCTCACCCGGCCATCGCGCTCCCGACGACATCTAGCATCAACGCCTCGGACACCCTGCAAACAACACAGTACTACAAACCATACAAGCCGGAGTATTAGAAAAGGACGCTCTTCTCACAACGAGCGGCCAGGAGCTTCGACAACCCCGCAAACGATGCTTCACGTGTCCAGAAGCTAATCTTCCCAACCAACCTTTCCCGTCGCACCACAATCCAAGCGCACTTGCATACGCACCGATGGAAGAAGTCTACAGCGACATCTTAAATATGCCTCGAGACGACAGTGAAGCAGAGTACAACTATGTCATCACGTTCATCGACGCAGCAACAGGATATGTCTGGCACTATAGCCTCAAGACACGAGATCAAGCATTCGAAGCCTTCACGACGTGGCTCCCCATCGCTGAACAAGAATCGGGCTCCCAACTCAAGAGCTTCCAGTCCGACGGGGCACTGGAGTACCAGTCACAAAGGTTCATGAGCTATCTGGCAGAAAGAGGCATCAGATGCCTGGTGTCTCTACCCTACGCTCACCAGCAGCAGGGGGTCGCAGAGAGGATGAACCGGACTTTACAGACGACGATGCGGAAGCTGCTCCTGGGGATGAGACTACCCAACACGCTTTGGCCTGACGCGATGACGCATGCAGTCCACCTCCACAATTTGTTGTCCTCGACGTCACTTCCCAACAACGCATCACCGCACCTGCTGTGGACAGGAAAGCATGGCAGCACAAAATTACTTCGAGTCTTCGGCTGTATGGTACAGTACAGACCCCACACAGCCCGAGCAGGACAATTCTCTCAACGAGCACGGTGGGAACTACACCTCGGCATCGCAAAACATTTCCAAGCATGGAAACTTCTCGACATTCTGGACAAAACCACAGTGGCCTCACGTGATGCGATTTTCTACGAGCGACTGACACTGCAACATTACCTGGACAACATCGCCAACACAGACAACCCCACTGACGGCTTCGAGGGCCATCGGTCCTTTGCCGACCGTGCTGCCAAAGCTGACGCAGCAGAAGAAGACGTACCTGAAGCCTCGGAAGCTGCCGGACCACTCCCTTACTGCTCCGTCACCGTTCCACTCAACGACGACAATCCTCTCGACATTAACAACCTCGACACCTATTACCACTTCGTTGACCAAGGTTACACTACACCTCAACCGGTCGACACACATATCTCTGAACGCATCGGACCCAATTTCTTACCAAAACCGAAGATGGTGACGAAGTAGCTTATCCCGAGAATGCCAATTCCCTACGACACACACCCACGGGCCTGCAGATACTTGGACTCTAGGTCACCGTCCAGAGCTCGCCGCCGCCGTCGCCGCAAGAGCCAACGACTCTGTCGCAGGCTCTTGGGGGGGAACACAAGGTGAAATGGAAGGAAACAATGGAAAAGGAACTGAAGGCCCTGCAAGACCGGAATACGCGGAAGCTGGTACCTTTAACAAAAACCAACGGGAAGAATGTGCTCTCGGGGAAATGGGTGTACCGCATCAAGACTAATGCGGATGGCTCCATCGAAGGCTTCAAAGCTCGCTGGGTTTTACGAGGATTCAACCAACGATACGGAACCGACTACACGGAGACATTCGCCCTAGTCTCCCAACATACCTCTCTGCGCATTCTGTTTGCCGTCGCGGCCACGAAAAAGCTACCACTGCGCCAAATCGATGTCGCCAACGCTTTCCTGCACGCACATGTGGACGCCGAAATCTTCGTCGAGCAGCCCCACGGATTCATCGATGACCCCACAAAAGTGTGCCAGCTGGTAAAATCCCTCTACGGAATTAAACAAGCCCCGCGGCTCTGGCAGCAGCACCTTCACGACAGCCTCGTAAGGATCGGTTTTCTGCAACTGCCGCACGATCAAGGCATGTACCGACTACAAAAGGGGGGGGACTTCGTCCTACTCATCGTCTATGTCGATGACCTACTCTACGTCGGCTCCACTACCGATCTCGCCACCTGGTTCGAAGGGGAGCTGAGGAGTGACTTAACACTCACGGTGTCGGACACTGTGAGCCAGTACCTAGGTCTAAACATCGTCGAAGACGACTCAGCGTTCCACCTACACGCCGGAAAATATGCAGGCGTTGTCGCGAAAAAATTCGGCGTAACGCCAGTCGCAGTCGCGACTCCCTATCGCTACGGGAACAACAGTGAAAACTCCGCAAAGCTCCCCGTGAAGCAAATTCAGGAATATCAACAGAAGCTCGGCTGTGTACTGTTCGCAGCAGTAACATGCCGACCGGATCTGTCCTACAGCGCGAGCCAACTGGCGACACACCTGAAGCAGCCAGAGCAAGAGGATCTCGATGAGCTAAATCGGGCACTGCTCTACTTCGTCTCTACGCCGACGACCGGACTTACCTACAGCAAAGTAACGCCATCGTCCGTACAGCTACTCGGGTACGTCGTCGCTCCAGAACGGGCTACATCTACCGACTAGAGCCTATTGAGACTATCTCCTGGCAATCGAGCAAGCAGGAACTAATCGCGCTATCCTCGGCTGAAGCGGAATACATCGCTCTCTGCTCTGCGACCAAAGAAGGACTTTACCTACGGGAGCTACTCGAGGAAGCGAAAATCGCGACCATGCCCATCTTCTCGCTATTTTGCGACAACCAATCCGCGATCAAAATCGCGAAAAAAAAACGGGTTCGCCAATCAAACCAAGCACATCGCTCTACGGTATTTCTTCGTCAAGGATGAGATCGCGAAGGGGAGACTTCAACTCAGTTACGGCCCCACGACAGAAATGGCTGCAGATTACGTGACAAAGAAACAGGCAAAGGCAAATTTCGATTACTGCATGCTGCTGACCGGACAGATAAACGTCACCGAATCTGGACACGTCAGCACTCCAGAAACGAAGGGGAGTGTTGGGAATACCTCGAAGACTTAAGCGTTTCTGAAGTGTAACACTACACTTGAAATGTCGTATCGAGTACACGAGTCAACGGAGGTTACACGAGGAGGTTGGGCGAAAGAACACGATAGGACGAAGGGACTCGAAGGGTTGCAACCGGAGGTTGCGACCGACCGTTGCGACAGCAAGGATGGTAACCGAACCAACGATCGATTCGTTGTGCGACTCGATAACCGTTTCTTCAACTGTATTCTACAAACTGCTCTATTTCCTATTCTCTATATATTCATGTATGCTTGCCTTTTTCAAATCAATTACTTGTTCTCACATACTAGTGCAAGGGTTCAACTACTCAACACTTCCGCTGTTCTACTCAAGCACTTCATACAAGTGGGACTCGGTCTCTGAAAAGATCCTAGGGCTTTTTCTCAGCCCAACATATATAATATACATGATTTAGCATGGACGCATTATGTAATCTAGCCCCACAAAACATGCGCGGATAGAATATCTGGTGTCACAAGTTGTTACCATGTTTGATGACGTAATTCATAGTTGATACACAAGTTGATAGTTGTGCATAGAAGACACTCCTAGATGGAAGACTGCCACGGTTCTACGCAATGTGGGAGGGGGAAACAGGGAGGGGGAGGGGGGTGGGTGGGGGAAGGGGGAAGTAGGGAGGAGAGGGGGGAATGGGGTGTGAGTGCTCGAATGGACACATGCCCATTGTAATCCCGACCTTGGCGTTTTTACGATACTTGGAAATTTCAAGCATTGTGCATGCGTACTACTTTATCCTTCTTTTGGTTGAAAAAGGTTACAGATTTTCCGAATCCAGCTTTTGTGACCACACATCACGGCCCTATATTCAGAAGCGGGAAATCACAGTCGAGTCACACACTCTCCGCACAAAACCACTCTTCCTCGGACCTTTCCGCCCGCTGCGCGCCAGAAATGGGTACGATGAGGGAGAGGGAGCATGCCACTACACTGTCAACTGAGTTTGATTTCACGAAACACCATCCACCAAGCACCAAACCCCCCATGGCTGGGACCATATGGGAACGGAATTTTCTGATCATCCCATCACGCGCTTCTTTCGCGCCGCTTAGTGCTCCATCGGGTAACCACATTTCGCTGACAGCCCCGCTGTCTCGCATTGTCGTTGCGACATGGCGCCCCGAGGTTCTGGGTTCAAACGTTGCAATTTCCCGGCGGAATGACCCGCGGAGCGGAGATTTTCTGCGCGCGCATCCGCACTTGCCATGCGCCATACGGTGCAGCGATCCGCGGAGCAGCGGCACGGAAACTAGCGCCGACTGGGCGGCGGAGGGGTTCGCCGCAGTACAGGGGCAGAGACAGCGGAAGGGGAAGAGAAATACGCGGGCGCAGTCGCAGGCGCAGGGGCAAGGGGGAAGCGACGGGCGGAGAGACGGGGGCGGGGAGGTGCGGGCGAAGGGCGGCAGCAAGGGGGAGCGGGGGGCAGTAAGCGCGCGTGCGCAGAACCGGGGGGAGGGGGAAGGGGAGTCAGGCGTACAGTGGGTGGAGGAGCGTGGGTTGCGCCTGCAGGTGCAGGGGTCGTTCTACCGCAGCGAGAGCGCCGTCGGGCGGGACTTGGCCACTCTCGTCGCGTGGCGGGACGCTCGCGCGCGGAGGGCCGCGGAAGAGCAGCAGAGCGCGGTTGGACAGGCGGAGGACAGGGCGGGAGAGGCGCGGGGCGGGGGAGCGAGGAGAGGCGCGGAGGCGGAGGGGCGGGGGATGAAGGAGCGGCGGCGGCGGGGGTTCCGGGTTTTGGACGTGCTGAGCGGGAGCGGCGTGCGGGGAGCGCGGTACCTGTCGCAGGGCGAGGCGACGTTCGTGTGGTGCAACGACGCGTCCGTCGACACGCACGCCGCGCTCGTAGCGAACCTGGAAGCCGTGTCTGGCGTCGCTGCTGCTGACGCGGCTGCTGATTCCTCCCATGCTGTTGCTACTGCCCCTCCTCCTCCTCCTCCTCCTCCTGCTGCTGCTGGGCCCCTCGACGCTGGCCGCGGGAAACAGAAGGCGGAGAGGAAGGGGGAGGGGGAGGGGGATGAAGAGCGGGAAGAGGATGAGGGGGAGGAGGACGAGGGGGATCGGCGGTGGCGGAAGGCGCGGGAGGGGAAGTCCGGGAGGGAGACGAGCAGGTGGCGGGTGACGCATGAGGACGGGCTGAGAGTGCTCAACAGCTGCTATGAGGTCGGTTGATTAGGGCTCTTCCTTCCCCACTTCCTTCCCCACACCCCTCCCCTCACCCCTCCCCTCACCCCTTCCCTCACCCCTTCCCCTCACCTGCACCACCCCTCCGTGCAGCGGCCCCTCCTTCAACCTGGTGGACGTGGACGCGTTTGGCAACGACACATTCGCCACCCCCTTACCAGCACAGCACCCTGCATGCCTCTCCCACCACCACCCCCCAACGCCCCGTTTCTCCCTTGCATCATCACCTACCTCCCTCGCAGCGGCGCTCCTTCTTCGACCTGGTGGACGTGGATGCGTTTGGCAGCGACACGCGCTTCATAGGGCCCGCACTTGCTGCCACCGCCATGGGCGGGCTGCTCTACCTCACCGCCACTGACGGTTTCTCCTCCGCTGGTCACGCCCCGTTCAGGTCCGTGCTCTGCACGCCCTGCACTCCCTGCACTCCCTGCACGCTCTGCACGCCCTGCATCCCCTCTACCTGCTTACCCACACGTTCCTCGCTGCCACCGCGATGGGCGAGCTGCTCTTCCTCACTGCCACCGACGGCGTCTCATCCTTTGTTCAGGCTCCCTTCAGGCCTATGCTCATACGCCCTCTGCTGCTGGCCATGCTCTGGTTCTTCCGTTTGTGCCTGTTGGTTGTTACGTGCTGCATCAGACCATTTAGCCTGTTCTCGATAGTCTGTTCATTCCATATAGTCGGTGTCCCTGGTACACTTTTCTCTACCGCCTGCTTCGCTTGCCCATCCATTCTCCTCTCCCTCACTCACCTCACCCCCCTCATGCACGCGCATCTGGATCCCAACGCACTCGTAAGCACTCACACCTTCACCGTTTCCCCCCAACCCTCCACCTCCCCCCCCCCTTCCAGGGCGCTAGCAGCATATGGCACATACATGCGTCCGCTGCCCTTCTGCAACGAGCTTGGCCTGCGCATGCTGCTGGGGGCGGCCGTGCGGGAGGCCGCCACGCGCAAGCTCACTGTGTCCCCCGTGTTCTCGCTCTACGCGCCCCACGGGCCCGTGTTCCGCGCGCTCGTGCGCGTCACGGCAGCATCGCCGCACCAGCAGTGGCAGGGCGAGTGAGTGGAGGGAAGGGGGGGGGGGGGGGGTGTGGGTGGGGGAGGATGGGGGGTTAGTGGTGGGGAGCCTGTGTGGGCTTGCCATGTCACAAAAGATCATGTCGCAAAACTGCAGCCCATCCTTCCTGCCCCTATGCCCATGGCTTGTGTGTGTCGCCTGCCCATCCTCCACATGCCCATACCCTACCTCATGGGTTCCTCCTCCCTCCCTCATGCCACGGCCACCAGGCACTATGGTTTCATCGCGCACTGCCATTCGTGCGGGCACTCAAAGGTGCTTGCATGGGATGCGCTTGGATGTGCCCTCTGCAACTGTCTGCACAGGAAGGGCCACCCACCCCACGCTGCTGCTGCTGCTGCTACCGACCCCACATCTCCCACTTCTCCTCGCTCCTCCTCCTCTTCCTCTTCCTCCTCCTCCTCCTCCTCCTCCTCCTCCTCCTCCTCCTCCTCCTCCTCCTCCTCCTCCTCCTCCTCCTCCTCCTCCTCCTCCTCCTCCTCCTCCTCCTCCTCCTCTATCTCTCAGGTGATGGAATCAAGCTCTCCTCCCGCCCACCAGCAGCAGCAGCAGCAAGTATCAACTAGTGTGGATGACCATCAGATGCTCAGCCAACTGGGCTTGCGAGTACGCTTATAGTCCCCCCTCATCCACTGTGCTTCTCCTTACTTGCACACTCTCCTTTCACAGCCGGTCCTGTGCTCTCCTTCCTGTCCCATTGCCAATCCCTCCACACATTCTTAGCCTTCTCTCCTCTCTTTTCCTGATGGTCTGTCCGTCTCACCATGAGCCATCATCGTACATTGTAATCCCCCTCTCTGCCCCACTTTCTCCCAACCCCTCCTCCTGTGCTTTCCATCTCCTTCCTTCTCCCCCCTCCTTCTTCCCCCCCACATCCACGCCCATCTGCCAAACTGCTCTCCCACAGCGCATGGTGGTGGTAGGGCCACTGTGGGTCGGCCCGCTGCACGACCCAGTGGAACTGCGACACATGGCAGAGGATGCGCGGGCCAAGGGGTGGAAGGCGGCAGGGCGCGTGCTGGAGGTGATGCAGGAGGAAGCACAAGAGGGGCTGCCTCCTTGGTTCTTCAAGATGGATCAGGTGAGTGTTATGGATGGAATCATTGATTGTCGTGGCACTGGGATAGCCCTGTCGAACCTCTTCCCTCTCTAGGGAGGGTACTAGGGAGACTTTCCCTTGGGAAGGTGGATATATGGAGCCTAACTCTTTTGACGACATCCCTTCTTGTCCCAGTTGTTAGGACTGGTGACTACATGACTTGGTGTCAGAGCGATCCAGGGCTCAATTTCTGGTGTACACGCTATCCCAACGGGGGGGTGTGTCGTGGCACTGGGATAGCCCCGTCGAACCTCTTCTCTCTAGGGAGGGTACTAAGGATGCTTTCCCTGGGGAAGGTGGATATATGGAGCCTTACTCTTGACGGCATCCCTTCTTGTCCCAGTGGTTAGGACTGGTGACTTTATGACTTTTATGTTTATATTCAGCTTGTGTTTTATGTGCTCTTCATGTTCTGCTCTGATATGCGGTAAAGCACATGCGATTTGACATCGCCCTGAACTTGCTACAAGGGAACTTGCACCGGTGTCGCTTGTAGTACCAAAGTTCAAGGATGCGCTTGGAAACAGCATTTCCCTGTCCTTTTATCGCCAGGACTTTTATTCGTTTGGCCTCACTGATGTGCATTTCATTATCATTCCTATCAGTATCTTCATCTTGTTGGTTTTCCTTAAGCAGGTTGCAAAGGTTGCAGGAGTACCGACACCTCCACGTTCCGAGCTTATGAGGGTCCTGAAGGAGGTACGTGTGTGCATGGCAGCATGCCTATATGGTGAGTGTCTTTGCATAAATTCTTGTTTGGTTTTACAAGTGTGTCTAGGACAGGTGAACATGTGAACCCTTATATTCCGGTTATATGTTTCTCGTTTCCCATTGTTTATATTTTGCTTGCCAGCGTGGATACTTGGTTTCAAGGTCACACGTGGAGGTGACAGCAATCAAGACTGACTGCCCGTTGGTGGAAGTTTTGGAGATAGCAAGGAAGGTGGCTAAAGTTGAGCCTACTGAGTGACAATGTGCAAATACCACATGTTATGGCCGTCTAAACTCATATGTAACTTTCTCTACTCTCAACGACCGTCGTTGAGATCTGCGTTTGGTGCGCGTGTGGGGAAGATAGTTGGGGCGTGCGGTTTAGCTGTATGGCGGGAAATACACGTCAGCTGTCGGACTAAATTACCAGAGCGCTGGCAACTTGAATCCAACCAACCCCTCTCAGACAGGTGGCCGGAGCTTCGGAAATCGTCGGCCCTAAGCTGAACACACGAGTGACACAAGAGTACTTTTGGCCAATCAGGTTTCAACTGTCCAACCACTTGTTCCTTTGTTTGTGGCTCACACCAGCCCTCGACCTCCTCCAGCTTTTGCCATCGGGGGACTTGAGCCCATTTTGGGCAAAATCGGCTCCTTGTGCCTATGTACGAAGTGCCTTCGCCTGCGCATCTCTGCATTTGAGCAATTTGTCGATTGAGCAAGACTTTTAAATCGAACGGGATTGGGGTACTACACCTGAGAAATTCATGGCTCAGTCTAGTTTGAGATGTCGAACCAAACGGACGAGACACCTTCCCAGTAGACGGGTCGCAGAAGTGTGCTCCCCGGACCTCATGGCGCCATGATATTTCACCCAACCGCCGTTTCGTTTCGTTTGAAACCCCCCGACCAACCGAAGTGATGAGCCTGATTCCTTTGCTTCGGTTCCAGGCTTCCGGCCACCACCAAACCCAAACCAAAGAACTTGACTGTGGCTGAGGTTTGAGGTGACGCACATGGTTCTGGACGGACGCACCCAAAATTGTTGCGGATGCTAAGGCAAAACTCGCCGACTTTTGGAGGGGTGTTCCAGCTCCCTAATTACATTTCGCCTAAATTCCAGCAGCAGGGCTTTGCGAACTGAACTTGTCTGCAAGAAATGTTCGGTGCCTGGCAGCTTCCCAAACTCTGTTCCCCGACGGAAAAAGTGATGCCCGCTGATTCGGTTCGTTGAAAAGGAATGGTAACACTGTGCTGAACAGTACACCCAAATCGGGCATCACGCCTCCGACTCTTCCCTGTCGCCGCCTTTTCCCTCCCCCCCGTTCACCCACCTTGCCTTCTGCTGGGTTTCCAACCAGACAGATACTCCTCCCTCTGGCTGGGCCTGGTCTCTCGCACCAAACCCTCTCAACTCAACCCTAGCTGCTACTTGTGCAGCAAGTTTTCCCCACTCAGAGTTCTATCATCGCATCCAGCCATGGCTGACGATTTCTCTTGCCGTATCTGTGGCTTGGCTCGGGCGTGATTGTCTAGGATTTACGAACGCTTCTCCTTGCGTTTACTAACATATACCCGGACAGAGTTGGAGGATCAGGGCTGATAGGGTTGCGAGAAGAATTTGTGGTGTAGGAAGATAGGCTGCTGTCTAGGTTCTGGTCGTGTAGGTAGGAATAGGCGTCGTGCAGCTTGGATAGCGGGATGAGATGTCGGTAACAGCAATGCAGAGCCATCGACACAGGCACACGGTGGAGAGTTCTGGGCCGGGATCCACGATGCTTTCCGCTACCGCCGTCTCAGACGCGGAAACAACCATCTTCAACTCCACCTCGCTCTCCTCCCTGTTTGAGTCCAAACGTACGTTCGGACTTGCGTTGATCGATGAACGGTTTTTTGTTCGTAAAGCTACTCGAGCATCACCCGTGATCTCTCAATTGTTCTCTCCTGCTCTGTCTCGCTCCGGTGGTAAACATGTCTTTCCCAAATTCAATCTGGATTGGCTATACGTGCCGAGTTTTCCCTACTTTTGCGGTCGAGCCTCCTTTTTCTGAACCCTCTGGATCTGGGTAGTTGAGTTTCAGCTGATCCCCTGCTGCTTCGCCACGTCAGCTGTCTCACTACCCTTCAAATACCGGCATATTCAGACATGGAGACGTCATCCGCCCTGCTCCAGCGTCTACTTGGATCCGCTTCCCCCTCCTTTCTCTTCCCGTTTGTCATTGTCGCGCCCTCACTCACTTCCGCTCTGCTCTCACGTCAGACCAACCCTTGCCTAGCTCACCAACCCTTCGGGCTAAACAGGTCCCTAAGCTTTCTAAACGTCACCGCGGCCTCTCCCGTCTATTTCCAGTGTTGAATATCCAGGCAGGCTTCAGTTTTTATAGCCTGACGGAGTCGGATTCTCGTGGGCTGCCTGATCCCTAAGTCCGGATCGCCGTCCCTACCCACCTGCTCTGCTCTCAACCCACTGTTTTTCCTTGCTCGTTCTCCCCTTCTCCCGGTTGACTTGGCCTCGCCCCCTCGTTCCGCAGTTGCGTTCGCCGATGTCTCTGGATCGTCACCGTCGGCGCATCACATTCCGCTGGATGATGCAACTGCCACGAGCAGCAACAGCAACAGCAACAGCAATAGCAATAGTAATAGCAACAGTAACAGCAGCGGTGGTGGCAGCGGCATCAGTGGCGGTTTCCCCGGCCTGCCGTTGCCCGCAGGAGCCTCGTTTCTGGGCGGTGCCAGCAGCAATGGGAGCTCTGGACTGTTCGGTACTCCCGGAGTCATCGGTAGGCGAGCCTCTCCCGCAGATCTGAACGACGATTTTCTCGGCGGGGGCCATTCGTGGCCGCGAAACGGTCCCGTAGGGTTACCAGCTTCGCAGGGGGGCAGCAGCGGGTCGATCATTGGCGGCGTTGGTAGTCAGTGTAACCCGATTGTGGGATTTGGCGGCGGATCCGGCGGATCTGGCGGCGGCAGCGGGCTGGGTCACGTTGGGGAGGGAGCTGGGTTGGGGAGTAACGGGATTGGAGAATCTATGGAGGTGAGAGGTCACTCAGCGCGCCACGGGAGTAGCTACGCCGAAGGCTCGTTCAACTCGCACGCGGCTTTCCAGCTGCCGTCGCTGGCGATGCAGCACCCAGATCAGCACCTGATAGGCCAGCAGCAGCAGCAGCAGCAGCAGCAGCAGCAGCAGCAGCAGCAGCAGCAGCAGCAGCAGCAGCAGCAGCAGCAGCAGCAGCAGCAGCAGCAGCAGCAGCAACATCTGAATCTGAATCTGCACCCAGGGCATCTGCTCATGGGTCCGTTTCTCCTGCAGCAGCAGCAGCTGACGACGCACCACCTGTCGCCGCACAGCTACGGCGACCAGCTTCACCCTTCGCTGCAGGCAGCGGCAAAGGACGCGCACGCCGTGCAGGCAGGTGGTGCGGGCGTGGCTCGCGAAGAAAGCTCGCAGTTTATGAACGCCGATCATCAGATTCTGCAGCAGCAGGAGCAGCAGAGGGAGCAGAATATTCAGCAGCAGCAGCAGCAGCAGCGGGCAGATCTAGCTATTCAAGCGCAGCAGGCTTTAGGTTTGGATCGCGACGTGCCTCGTGCGTTTGGCGATCAAGCCCCGACGCAGATTCTTCCGGACGACGAAGAGGAGCTCTTCGCGGACATCGCAGATGAGTACGAGCGACACCTGCGATCCGCCGACGAAGCCGCCGCAGCCGCGGCCGCGGCTGCCGTCGCGGCTGTCGCCAGATCGGGTGCGACTGGATCCGCCCGTCGCGCCAGCAGCAGGCGCGCGGGGGCCAGCGCGGGCAGCGGAAGGGGGGAGGGGGGAGGCGCGCTGGACGATGGCGGGGACGGGGACGGCGCGGAGGGGGACGACGATGGCGCGGCGGACGATCTGTTCTGCAGCAGCGGCGGCATGGAGCTGGATCTGGACCCCGTCGATGGCGCGGGAGCGCAGGCGGGGGTTTTCCGCCGCCTGCCTCTTCCGCGGAGCATTTTCTCCCCCGCTGCTGGTGCTGCTGCTGGTGCTGCGGGTGCTGCTGGCGGAGTTGCTCGAGGAGCGATTCACCTGGCGCCGGCGGGGGGTAAGGCCGTTGCTGCTGCCGCTGCGGCGGCGGCGGGAACGGCGGCGGGGATGACGATGACAGTGGCGGCGGGGGGTTTTGCGGGCGCGGCGCAGGCCGCGGGGGGGGAGCATCCGCTGGGCGAGCACCCGTCGCGGACGCTGTTCGTGCGGAATATCAACAGCAGCGTGGAGGACTCGGAGCTGCGCGCGCTCTTCGAGGTACGGCCATCCAGATATCGAAATACAGCGGCGTGTCGCTCTGTTGTTTTGAGTCGACTTCGAATACAGCAGCGTGGAGCTGCGCATGCTGTTCGAGGTATAGTAATCCAGGTGCCTGGTCGCTGTTCTCCTCATGGCGGACCGGTTTGCTCTCCCATTACCGAGGTCTCTTTTCTGTCTACCTTCAACGACACCCCAACCCCCCCCCCCCCCCCCCACACACCACCTCCCCTCCGCTTCTTCCCCCACACTTTGGGAGCTTCTAGGTCAGGCAGTCGAACCGGAAACATATGAGCCGCTCTCTGTTCCTCTTCCTTCGCCCTAATAGCGCGCTGGGCCCGGATATATCGGCCCACTTCAAACCCTTACCTCAACTCCTTTGCCCCTCCCCTCCCCCCCCCCCTATTCGCGCCCAGCGATACGGCCCATCCGCACGCTGTACACAGCGTACAAGAGAATGCTAATACAACATCTCCTCCCCCCCCCTCCCCACCTCCTCCCCTCCTCCCCTTTCCGCGTCCCCCCTCCGCCTCCCCTCCTCTCCGCTCCCCCTCCCTTGCGCAGCAACACGGCGACATCCGCACGCTGTACACCGCGTGCAAGCACCGCGGATTCGTGATGGTGTCGTTCTTCGACATCCGCGCCGCCCGCGCCGCCATGCACGCCCTGCAGGGCACGCCGCTGCGCCGCCGCAAGCTCGACATCCACTTCTCCATCCCCAAGGTTCGTCGTCTGTGTCCAGTCCATGCCTAGGGTTCGTCGTCCGTGCCCAGGGTTCGTCGTCCGTGCCCAGGGTTCGTCGTCCGTGCCTAGGGTTCGTCGTCCGTGCCTAGGGTTCGTCGTCCGTGTCCAGGGTTCGTCGTCCGTGCCTAGGGTTCGTCGTCCGTGCCCAGGGTTCGTCGTCCGTGCCTAGGGTTCGTCGTCCGTGCCTAGGGTTCGTCGTCCGTGCCTAGGGTTCGTCGTCGGTGGTTCATTGTCCTGGCTCCATCCCTAGCGTACTCGTGCGTTACTGAAGGCGTCCTCGTATGTCAGGGCTGCGCCCAACTCACCTCACCTGCCTGCCTGCCTCGGTGCGCCTCCCTGCGTACGTGTGTGCTTGTGTGTCACCCTCTCTCGCTCGCCCCCTCTGCGCGTGTGCGTGGCAGCAGGACAACCCATCGGAGAAGGACGTGAATCAGGGCACGCTGGTGGTGTCCAACCTGGACGCGTCCGTCTCCAGCCACGACCTGCACCGCATCTTCGCCGCCTATGGCGAGGTCAAGGAGGTGAGTGCTTGCTAGCTACTCGCTTGCGGCTTTCGCACCGCTCCTGTACGCTTGCTGTTTGTCCCCTCTCATGGACTTAACCCCGATGGGGTGTCTTCGTGGGACATACACTGCTGCATGATCCCTCCCGCACAACTCTGTGCCACTCTTGCCCATTTCGGTCTGCGTCCGTCACATGGACAGGAAAAATGCACCACAAGCGTGTTAGTGGAACCACCTGGCGGATCATCTTTCTTCCTTCTCTCCCGTCCCCTCTTCCCCTACCCCCCCCCCCCCCCCCCCCCCCCCCTCCGCCCCTTTCTTCTACCTGTGTCAGATCCCGCGAGGCCGCTCATGAGCGGCAGCAAAGGTGGGTGGAGTTCCTTGGACGTGCGCGCAGCAGGTACCACCTTTGAGTCGACTCTTATCCATACTCTCAACCCTTTTCGTCTATCGCTCCCTCTCCTCTCGCGCCTACCCATGCCAGATCCGCGAGGCTCCTCATCAGCAGCAGCACAAGTTGGTGGAGTTCTACGACGTGCGCGGGGCAGAGGCGGCGCTGAGGGCGCTCAACCGCAGCGACATTGCCGGGAAGAGAGTCAAGCTCGAGCCCAGCCGCCCAGGGGGCCTTCGCCGCAGGTGAGACGGACTAGCAAGGCATTCTCAGCGCGTCTATCATCCCCACGCCCCCCACGCACGCTGCCTTCCCTGTCTTGCCTCCCCTTCCTTCTCACCTTCTCTATCACACTTACCCAATATTATGTCCCCTCTTCTCTGCCCCACGTTCCTTTGTCCGGCTGGACGTGGCCCTGTCTCTGCGTGCCTGTGTTGTTGGCGCCAGCCTGGCGAGTCAAGAGAGTGCAGAGAGCTACGTGGGTGACGCAGCGGCAGGAGCAGCCTCAGCGGATCAGCAGCAGCAGCAGCAGCAGCAGGAGGTGAGCGGCTGTGACACCGTGCCCGTCTGCCCGTGCCCGTCTGCCCGTGCCCGTCTGCCCGTGCCCGTCTGCCCGTGCCCGTCTGCCCGTGCCCGTCTGCCCGTGCCCGTCTGCCCGTGCCCATCTGCCCGTGCCCATCTGTCCGTCCCCGTCTGCCCGTGCCCGTCTGTCCGTGCTTTTTGGTTTGTCTCAGGCATCCGAATCCGTGTCTCAGAACTGCTCAGTGCAGCAGCAGCAAGCCCAGGCGCAGCAATGGCTGCCCGAGGACCAACAGCTGCAAGCGCAGCAGCTGCAACAGCGGAACCAGCAGCAGCAACAGCAGCAATCTCAGTCCTTCTTCCACCACCAGCACCAGCAGCAACAGCAGCAGCAGCAGCAGCAGCAGCAGCAGCAGCAACAACAACAGCAGCAAAACGAGCAGCAGGAGAAGGAGCAGCAGCAGGAGCTGCCACTCCCCCCTATGCTCCCCCTAAGCGCTCTCCTGGATGCAGCAGGCCCCATCTCCGTCTCTCTGCCCCCCTCCGATCGCCCCTGGCGCGCCCAGGGCAGCAGCAGCGCCCACCACGCCGCGCCTCTCCCCCCATCCTCCCCGCATGCAGCAGCTGCCGCCGCTGCAGCCGCCACCACAGTGGAGGTCGGGCGCGGGGGGCGCATTCTTCCCCCCGGCGCCCCTCCCGCGTCCTCCCCCCCGCCTCTTGCTGACGGGGCGCCAGGTGCAGGAGTGAGGGCACCAGGCGTGGAGCTCTTGTATGGGATTGGGGGCGGTGGGGGTGGAAGGCCCGTGCTGGAAAGGGGGGGTGATGGGGGTGCTGGAAAGGGGGGTGATATGCTGCAGGGAACAATGCAGCGAGATCAGCAGGTGCAGGCTCATTTGCTGCAGCAGCAGCAACAGCAGTCAGTGCAATTGTGGCAGCAACAGCAGCAGCGTCTGCTGCACCATTCGAGCTCCATGCCAGACTATGGTCTCAACGCCTCCTCTTCGTCCTCCTCCTCGCCCTCTCCCTTCCTCGCGTCAGTTCCAGACAGCCACACCCACGCGGGTCTCTTTGCAACAAACCAAGCCGCTGCTGCCAATGCTGCCGCGGCCGCGGCCGCAGTTGCAGCAGCTGCTAGGTCAGAAGGAGGGCGGGAAGGAGCAAGCGGGTTGGAGGGCACAGGCGGGATGAACGGGCTCGGGGGAGCGCCAGGTGGCAGTTTAGGGGGGAGTATTCGCCCTCATGGTACAGCTGGTACTCCTTTTGGCCCCGGCATTGCATCCGGTGGTTCCTCTGGGCATCATCTTTTGAGTTCCCATGCTGTTGCCTGGATGCCTAGGGCTAGTTCTGATACGTCTCTCAATGCCGCTGCCCATGCCATGCGTGCTGCTGGTGGTGGTAGCTGGGCCAACGCTGAGTCGCTGCTGGTTAGCAGTATTCTAGAGCATGGGGAGGAGAATCCTCGCCAGCAGCAGCAGCAGCAGCAGCAGCAGCAGGCAGGGGTGCCGTCGCGGGGACTGGAGCACCACATTCAGCAGCGGCAGCAGCTGCTGCAGCTGCAGCAGCAGCAGGAGCTGCAGGAGCAGCGGCAGCGGCACCAGCAGCAGCAGCAGCAGCTGGAGGATCAACTGCGTGCGCTCTCCCACGCACAGCTCTCCTCGTCTCTCCCAGAAAGCGCCATGTGGGGGGGTCCCTCGTCTCTCCCCCATTCCCTGCCTCCGGCCCTTCGCCCCGCCCTTCACGAGCAGCAGATTCAACAGCACCTGTACCAGCAGCAGCAGCAGCACCAGCAGTACCAACAGCAGCAGCAGCAGCGGTTGCCTGTGTCCCTCCTGACTCTGGCACAAACGCTGGGCTTGCAATCTTCTGCGGGAGCCGCAAACGCCTCATTGCAATCCCCTTCCCGGTCCGCGTACCTTGATGCAAACTCCCTGCAGGAATCCCACGCGCTTACCCAGCTGACCCTCCAGCAGCAGCAGCTGGAGCAGCAGCAGCAGGTCGGACTGCCAGGGCTAGGGGCAGGCGGGGAATACCCCGGTGCAGGTGGCAGTGGAACCGTGGGTGCAGGTGTGGGTGTGAGTGGCGTGGGCATGAGCGCGGAGATAGGCGGGCTTGCTGCCAAGCTGGGCCGGGCTCAGTCGTTTGGAGCGCTCGGGCATACTTCCCCTGCTTCTGCCACTGCTGCTTCTGCTGGTCCTTCTGGTCACCTTCCCCATCGCGCTGCAGACCCGTCTGCGATGAGAAGCGGCTTGCTGGTGGGGAGTCAGATGCAGCTGTACGCCCAGGCTCAGCAGCAGCTGCAGCAGCAGCAACAACTGCAGCAGCAGCAGCAGCAGCAGCAGCAGCAGCAGCAGCAGCAGCAGCAGCAGCAGCAGCAGCAGCAGCAGCTGTTTCAGCACCGTCACCAGCAGCAGCAGCAGCATCTGCATGTGCAGCAGCCCATGCACCACCCCATCCACATGCGCGCCGCCCACCACGGTTCTGACTCCCACATCCACTTCGCTGCATCCGACCCCCTAATCCCTGACCGTTCCTACAGCCTCCTCTCCGGCTCGCCTGACTCCTTCTCCTATGGCAGTCCTCTCCTAGGGAACGGACTGCTTGGGGGATCCGCAGGGGGGGTAGCAGGTGGGGGGGGTGGGCGTATGGGTGTGATGGGAGGAGCAGCAGCAGGGGCAACAGTGCCTGGTAGCAGCCAGGGGATGCAGGGAGTGGATCAGTTTGGTTTTTTTTCTGGCTCTTTCTCTGCTTCCTTCTCTGGCTCGCTGTCTAGTTCTCTGTCTGCTGCTGCCGCGTTGCATCATGGTGTAGACACGACCTTTGGCCTCCGCTTTCCAGCAGCAGCAGCAGCAGCAGGAGTAGCAGGGGCACCCAGGGCAACCTCTCCTGCCGATGCAGCAGCAGCAGCAGCAGCGGCTGGCTCGGCTGCAGCTGATTTCAACAGTGCTGGTTTAGGTCTGGGTGTGCCGAACCTGGGCTCCAGCCTAGGTTCGAGCCGGGGGGCTGGGCTCGGGAGAGGCTTTGGATCACAGTACGAGCCAGGGATAGCACCAGGCGTATTACCAGGTGTATCATCAGGTGTTTCACCTGGCATGAGCCTGCGTGATTCAGTTTCCAGCATGGATCGATTCCGAGGGGGTGCGGGTGCGGGAGCAGGAGCTGGAGCAGTGGCGGCGGCTCTAGGGCTAGGGCTAGGGCTTGAGAGCGGAGTGGAAGGCACACCACCATCTCCCAGTCTTCTATCTCCCCACCTGAAGAACAGCTCTAGTGGGAGGTCGTTGTCCGGGCTGGGGGGTGAAGGCAGTGTGAGGGGGGCGGGAGGGGCAGGAGGAGCAGGAGGGGGTAGTAGTGGTGGTGGGGGAGGAGGGGCAGGGGTGGAGGGGTATGGGGAGAGGAATCGGGGGAGGAGGTCGGAGGGGGGTGGAGGGGGAGGGGGCGGGGGTGGGGGAGGGGGAGGTGGCAACGCGGATCCGAAGCGGCAGTATCTGCTGGAGGTTGATCGGATACTGAGAGGGGAGGACAGTCGCACGACGCTGATGATCAAGAACATCCCCAACAAGTGAGTGCAGTGGGTGCGTGATGTGGAAAGAATGGAAGTGGTGTTGTTTGTGAGCAGGGCCTGTTTGTGAGCAGGGCCTGTTTGAATGCTAGTGAAGGTTGCGGGGAGATGCCGCGGGCCGCTTCCCATGTTCCACACTCTCTTGTGGGTTCTCAAGCCATTTCCTTGGATGTGTGGCTCTGTGCATGTGTCTGTGCATGTGACTGTGCATGTGGGTGTGTGTTTCTGAATGAATGTGCATCCATGTGTATGTATGTGCGTGTGCGCGTGTGTCTACGTGTCCATGTATTTATGCTCAGGTACACGCAGAAGATGCTCCTTGCAGCCATAGATGAGAAGCACAAGGGTACCTACGACTTCTTCTACCTCCCTATCGACTTCAAGGTCCACCCCCTCCCTCCCCTTCCTCTCTCCCCCCCGCGTCTCCCTGTCCCTCCTCCTCCTCCTCCCCTCTCTTGTTGATTCCTCTCGCCCTGTTTAGCCGTTTTTGACATGCAGGCTGAGCGTGATGCCGTGATTATGCCGTTTTTTTCTGTCTTGTGCCTCAGCATCACATGTCGCTCCCGTTTGCTCCATCTCCCTCTCTCTCCATCACCTTCTACCCCTCCATCCTTCTCTCTCTCATACGTCACCCCTCATCCTCTTCTTGTGTACAGAACAAGTGCAACGTGGGCTATGCCTTCATCAACATGATGGACCCGTACAAGATTGTGCCACTCTACCAGGTACTGCTCCTGCCACTGCTGCAACCTGCAGTCCAACCCCTCTCCCAGCCACTAACCCTCATAACCGGGCTCCTTGCTGCATAACTGCCCCCCTTCTGTCTCTGTGTCTGACTCGGGCTATGTGTCATGGCTTAAGGTCCCCAGAGTCATATCTTTGCCCCAATCATTTATTTCGTCGTGCCCCTGGCAGGCCCGTCTGATCCTCTGCTGTCCCTGTCGTCCCTGTCTGTCTCTGTCTCTGCTGTCCGTGCCCTCTTGGCAGAGCTTCAACGGCAAGCGGTGGGAGAAGTTCAACAGCGAGAAGGTGGCCAACATAGCGTACGCGCGCATCCAGGGCAAGCAGGCGCTCATCGCCCACTTCCAAAACTCATCCCTCATGAATGAGGACAAGCGGTGCCGCCCCATCCTCTTCCAGTCCCAGGGGCCACACGCCGGCGACCAGGTGCGTGGTTGATGGTCGCACTGTTATTCATGCCCTCACGCAACATTTGCTCTTCAGGCAACAATTGTTCCTCAGGCAACATTTGCTCCCACATTCTGTGTCTTCCAGTTTCTCCCCCACTTTCTCCCAACCCCCGCCTGTTCACCTCTCTTTCCCTGCATCCCAATCTCGGCTGTTTTGTCATGTGACACGTGCATCAGCCTAAGATGTGATGCCACAAATGTGTGGAAGTGGGTTTTATATTGCCTGCACTTGCTCTAACAGCATGCAACTTGCTCTAACCCGCGTGTCTTGCTGTGTGCTCGTTGTCCCTAAACCCCCGAAACCAATGTCCCCCAGGAGCCCTTTCCGGTGGGCATCAGTGTGCGTGCGAAAAGGGGCGGCAGTAGTGGCAGTGGCAGTGCTGCTGGTGCTGGTGCTGGTAGCAGCGGCAGCGGTCACAGTGCGAGCGCTGGCAACAGCAGCAGCAACAGCAACATGCTGCACCACGGCAGCCCCGGCAGCAGCAGCAGCAGCCGGGAGAGCTCCTTCCACGGTGCCGACATGCTCGCCCGCCGCTCCTTTCCCTCCTCCGCTTCGTCTGCTGCCACTGCAGCAGCAGCAGCCATGCATGTGTCAGGTGGTGGTACTGGTGCTGCTGCTGCTAGTGGCAGTGCGCTGGGTGATCTCTCCACCAGCTACCGCCTTCCCTCCTTTCTCTCTGGAGGCCACAGCGGGGGCTCTCCTCCCGACCGCTTCTACTGAGGCTCGTATGCCATGAGGCTGGCTGGCTGTTGGTTGAGCAACATTCTCCTGGAGCTTCTTAGTGTGAGCTAGGACCCATTCTGCTCTTTGCAGGGAGCAGGAGGGGAAATTGTTTCTAGCACAGTGGGATACACTTCCGCCGTCTCCCACATAGCATTATGGAATAGTGTGCTTCTGATCGCCAGTTTTACGTGTGTCTACAGTTTTGGATTTTTTTCCCTGTAAATCCGCACATTTTTTACTAGATTTTTAGTGCTTCTGGATTTTTTCCCCTTGTCTAATAGCTACAGTATCTATATGCGTACATGTCGTCCTATGACTACCAGTACCTTCTGGCTGCTCGAGGAAGGCCCTAAATGCAGTGGCGAATGTGATGGCGAATGGAGAGATTTGCGACCCTAGTCTTCGCTTCGCAACTGAATGACCAACTACATGCGATGCACACACCGCGAATCCGCTTCGCCTAACTCTCTCACAAGCTGGTTACCCGCCGGATTCGGCATACTGTACCGCTCCCCCAAACCTCGCAGTGCGCTTCAGTTCAGGAGGTCAGAGATTTGGCTCGCGCTCGGAGATCTCTAGGGAGTAGAGTAGATTTGGTGTTCGCTCACGCTTCAGCTAGGCTAACGACGACCAGGCTAAGCGTCCCAGTGCACCTCAGGATTCGGGAATCCCTCTCTCGTCTTCGGGCTTTCCAGTGGACTTCGGGAGTTGCTCTCTCATCTGGGCTTTCAGTACAAGTTGTGCTTGCGTACTCTGGGCTCAGGCTGGCCTCCCATCACCTGCACTGCTCCTCCGCTGCTAGTCCTCCAAAACACTTTTTATCTCCCGGAAAATCTGGATTCGTGAGAGTGAGCGTTACTGCTCTACGTCTGACGTTACCACTCTTCCTCAGACACGACGCGCTGATCTTGCAACTCGCGCTCGTCATCACTGCCTGAGCCAGCACCGCCGGTGCCCGCGTCGACCACCGCGCACAGCTGTTTAGCCGATCTCGCAGCGGTTTTTTTTTTTTTTTTTTTTTTTTTTTTTTTCAGTTGTGTTCAATGGCTGGCGATGGTGTGGCCGAGGGGGGCATTGTGGATGGGGGGGTTGCGACGGCGGCAATACCGCCGGCGTCAACCACGCAAGGGGAGGATCAGCGATCGTTGAGAGTTCTGGCGAAACGGTTTGGTACCTTGCGAAGCGCGATGGATGCTGCGAAATCTGACAAGTCTGACGTTACATCTGATGCCGCTGCTGCTGCTGCCGCTGCTGCTGCTGGCGCGGCTGGCGCGGACGCTGACTCTGAGGCTAAGGCTGAGACTGGCGGGGGAGGGAAGCCGAACTTCGCTGGTCAAGCGGAGAAAGTGAGCGTCGCGGAATTCGCTCACGCGTGCGACGGCATCTCACGCCTCTTCTCCCTGCTCGGTGTCGCATTCGCGTTCGCAGGGAAGGATTTCACAGAAAAGGTAAAGCATGAGGCAGACACAGTCATTCACCCACTTGTTCCTACTGCACGTCTGATAGTTCCAGTCTGCAAAATACTACGCATGCTTGCTCGCCTGATAAGGTATCCCTAGATCAAGGTTTCCCTCTCCTGCTCCCGATTGCAAATTACTCAAACAGTGCCAGCACCTCTATTGGTGGTACCGGTTCCCTTATAGCCTCCTCTCCCCCATCCCCATCCGTCTCCTCTCCAGGTGAAGGGCCTGACAACATCAGGCAACCATGTGGGAAGAGGCTGGTGCTGAGACGTCCACGCATTAGAACCCTCACACCTTCCTGGGGTGTCTCTTTTTTAAACGCCTCCTCCTTTCCCCGAATGCCCATTTCTCTCTCCACCCGTCCGCATCTGTCTCCAGGTGAAGGACCTGACAGCAGCAGGGAAGGAGCTCAGCACCCTGGGAGCCATGGTGGACGCTGACGTGAGCAAGGGCGCTGTGAAGGTGCAGAACAGCCACACGCGCAACCTGCTGCGCGTGCTGCGAGGGCTTGACATGATGCGACGCCTGTTCTGCTACATCCTTGAAGACTGGTGCGACGTCCGTGTTTGTTGTGTGCATGTGTTGAGTGTGTGTTGTGTGGTGTGGGACCAAGGTGACCTTTGTCTCGACTCTCAGGCGACCTGCTGTGTGTGCTGCGAGGGCTGGACATGATGCGACGGTTGTTCTGCTTCTTTCTTGAAGACTGGTGCGCATGTTGTGGGGCGTGTGTTCGTGTGCACAGGTTGCTCGATGAGGGCACGCTAGATGTGGGCGCCCGTAGTACGTTAGTAGCCTGTTATGGTATGCAATTGATGTGTCTTGAGTTCACTGCATGGTGGTGCCGACTTGCACTAGATATCTCAAGACATAATATTCTCGCACATGAGTCACCCACCCTCATCCATCCACTCCCCGGACCTCTTCTTCCCTCTTCTCCTCCCCTCTCCTCGTGCCTCCCCACCCCCCTTCCCCCATATCCCCTCCTCCCCGCGCCCTTCAACCACGTCCCTTGCAATCCAACCACCCAGCACGAAGCCTCTGCGGGAGCATGCGAGCCGGGCCTACAACGAGGTGTTCAGCGCGCACCACTCGTGGGCCATCCGCAGCCTCGTGGCCGCTGGCATGTACGCGCTGCCCTCCACCGACTCCTTCCTGCACCACCTGGGGGAAGACGGTGAGACAAGGCATAGGGGCTCGGGGGCATGGGGGGCATGGGGAAACTACAAGGACTTGTGTTGGCGTTTTAAGTAGTCTGGTGCCGCTGGCATGTACGCGCTGCCCTCCACCGACTCCTTCCTGCACCACCTGGGGGAAGACGGTGAGACACGGGGGGAATGGGACGTGAGGGGGTGACGGATCGAGGGCTGGACTTGGGGGGAATCGCAATGGGATGTGGGGGGGCTTGATGCTGTCCGCATGTACGTGCTGCCCTCCACCGACACCTTCCTGCGCCACCTGGGGGAAGACGGTGAGAGATGGATGGGGTTGGGATTGTATGGGACTCCATGCCTTTGTTTTGGTGTGTGCAACAGAGGAAAAATGTATAAGAGAAACGAGCCTTGTTGTAGGACCTGCCATTGGCTCCCATCCCTGCGTTCCGTAGGAAATACTTGGTGGAGGCTTGCATGAGAGAGGGGGTGGGTTGGGATGGGAAGGGAAGCAGCTGATAAAATTCGGAAGCTGGCTGAGGATGCAGTCTTCTAGGTTTGTGGGTCTTGATGCTTTGATCCTCCAATGACGCTTTTCTCTGGCAAGCAGGAGGAGATGGGCTGTTGGAGGCCGGGGGAGTGAGGGGTAAAAGGGGAGAGGAAACACGAAGGGGAAGTGACCAGTAGAGGAGAGAGAACTGAGAATTGCAAAAGAATGGGGACGGCTAGGTGTGTCTTTCCCGTTGACGTCAACCCCCTTGGCCAATGGTGTTCTTCCTCCTCTCTTTGCTACATTGCACCCCCCCCGCCCCCCCCCTTTTTTGTACTCTTCTCATTCCTATTGCATTCTTTATACACGCTGTTAATCTGTCTTGTGTCTGTCCGTTACGTCCCTTGTCCACCTGCTGCCCTCGTCTTTCCCCCATGCCCATCAACAGAGGAGTCTTGGCGTGAGCCGTCATCTGAGTTCGTATCCAGCGTAACAGATGTGGCAGCTGCAGTGGAGGATCTCTTTGTTTCACGTGATCTTGGTCTTCATTGGTGACCTTGCTCCTCCCATCTGCTCCAGCAGCCATTGTGGTGTGGCTGTCTTCGTTTCAGCCCAGCCACTATAGATGGTCTCGCTTGTTTGTTTGTGAATAAAAGTACTCCATAAAAATTTGCCTCCATTGGTTCTAGTAGGGTAACACACGTCGTGTGAGCCATTCAAAACAAGGTTTAAACATAACGGTAGACATGCATTGAAAGCAAATGCTTTTCCCTGTGTTTTTAGAACCAGCTTTTTTGGAGATGTCGAAGGCTGTCTCAACTCCGAAATGTAACTTGTATTTTCCTCGACATTGAAGCTGACGTAAGCAGTGTACGACGAATCGCTAGCAGTTCGACAAGACGTCTCAACGCTGTGCTTGTCAAACTTGTGTAGTTGTTATGTTTGTGTAGACTGTATAGGGTCACCTCTTAGAGGGTACAATTCTTAGGTATATCTCTCTGTACTCTCTCACTAGCAATTCATTCACTTGTCAATTCTGATATGGTATCACGCGTAGGTAGGATCCCCCCCCACCTACCGCTTCCGCTCACCCCTCTAGCCCCTAGCCCCGTCGCGACCCCCCTAGGCCCGTCGCGCCCCATCCTGGGCCCCGTCGTACCCCTCACTGGGCCCCGTCGCGCCCCTCCTAGGCCCGGTAGCGCCCCTCCTAGGCTCCGTCGCACCCCTCCTGGGCTTCGTAGCGCCCCTCCTGGGCCTAGTCGCGCCCCTCCCAGGCCCCGTCGCGCCCCTCCCAGGCCCCGTCGCGCCCCTCCTGGGCTCCGTAGCGCCCCTCCTGGGCCCCGTCGCGCCCCTCCCAGGCCCCGTCGCGCCCCTCCTAGGCCCGGTAGCGCCCCTCCTGGGCCCCGTCGCGCCCCTCCCAGGCCCCGTCGCGCCCCTCCTGGGCTCCGTAGCGCCCCTCCTGGGCCCCGTCGCGCCCCTCCCAGGCCCCGTCGCGCCCCTCCTAGGCCCGGAAGCGCCCCTCCTGGGCCTCGTCGCGCCCCTCCTGGGCTCCGTAGCGCCCCTCCTGGGCCCCGTCGCGCCCCTCCTGGGCTCCGTAGCGCCCCTCCTGGGCCCCGTCGCGCCCCCTCCTGGGCTTCGTCGCGCCCCTCCTAAGCCTTGTAGCGCCCCTCCTGGGCCCCGTCGCGCCCCTCCTGGGCCCCTGTAGCGCCCCTCCTGGGCCCCCCGTTGTGCCCCTCCTGGGCCCCGTAGCGCCCCTCCTGGACCGCGTCGAGCCCTCCCCATCCTGGGCCCCGTCACGTCTTCAGTCCCCGTCGCGCCCGCCCGGCCCCGTCGCACCAGCCCGGCCCCGTCGCACCAGCCCGGCCCCGTCACGCCCGCCCGGCCCCGCTGCACCTGCCCGGCCCCGTCGCCCCCTGCCCGGCCCCGTCGCAGCCGCCCGGCCCTGACGCACCCGTCCGGCCCCGTCGTGCCCGCCCAGCCCCGGTGCGCCCCTCCTGGGCCACCGTCCTGCTCGCCCGGCCCCGTCGCCCCGGCCCGGCCCCGTCGCACCAGCCCGGCCCCGACGCACCCGCCCGGCCCCGTCGCACCAGCCCGGCCCCGTCGCGCCCGCCCGGCCCTGTCGCGCCCGCCCGGCCCCGTCGCGCCCGCCCGGCCCCGTTGCACCGGCCCGGCCCCTGCGCTCGTCCCTGCCCCGGCCCCGGTCCTTCTCACTGGTACGGTTTCCCCCCCCCCCCCCGCACTGCACCGCCCCGCACCACCCTGTACTGCCTGGCACCGCACTGCACCGCCCTACACCGCACTGCACCGCACTGCACCGCACTGTACCGCCCTACACCGCACTGCACCGCACTGCACTGTACCGCACGGCACCGCACTTCACCTTGCTGCACTGCCCTGCACCGCACTGCACTGTTCCTGATGGCGGCGGAGCTTCGCTTCGACGCTGAAGGCCAGCCTCTGGAGTTCGAGGCGTGGCTTGCCGACCTCCGTCGCCAACTCACTGGTCAGCGGCAAGATGGTGAACCGCTCTCCGCACACCTTGACGGTACGCTCCCCTGCCCAGACCCCCCTGCTATTCTGCCCGCTGACTCCACACCCACTGAGCGCGAGTCCACTGCTGCCACTGCCCGTGCGCGCTCTGTCTGGCTTTCTCGCGATGCTGTCGCCCAGCTTGCCATTAGCAACGCCCTTCCCCGTCCGAGCGCCCGCGCTTTAGGTCTCTCACTACTGCTCAGGCATACTTAGATGCTGTCATCCAGCGCTATTCCACCCCTCCGGCTGCCTCGGTGGGTCGCCTGATCCTCCCGATGCTCTTTCCTGACCTTGCATCTTTCGCCACTGTCTCTGACCTCGCTGCCCACCTGCGCTCGATAGATGAGACCTGGCGCGCAGCCTGCACTGATCCACAGCTTAGAGCACACCAGCCGCCTATTACCTCTACCCTCTACCTGCTTGCCACCCGCCTCCCTGACCGCCTTGCTGTCGCCCGCGACCGCTTCCTTAGCATTCACCCCGCAGACCTCACCCTCACTGACTTTGTAGACACCCTGACTGTGATAGAGACCCGTCACCGCTCCATCGCCCAGGCGAGCGGTGTCGTGCCGGTCCCTATCTTTCAGGGTTGTGCCCCCGCCCAGTGCACCTTCTCCGATGGCTCTGCCGCAGTGGCTGAGACTGCTGCTGCGGCGCAGTTTCGTTCGGGGAAGGGCCGCCGCCCCAAGGTTGGGCGCGGCGGCGGCGGCGGCGGGGGTGCGGGAGGGGGTAGTGGTGGGGTCGGGTCGTCTGGTGCTGGCGCGGACGAGGGGACCCTGCCCAGTCCAGCTGAGCCGCCGCCCCTGCAGTTGCAGCAGCCGCAGCAGCCGCCGCAGTCGCAGCCTTCGCAGCAGCCGCAGCAGCCGTCGCAGACGCGGCAGACGAGTGTCCTCCCGCCCGGCTGGCCCGGAGCTGGCGGTGGTCGGGCGCGCGGTGGTGTGCCGAGTGGTGGCTCTGGCGGCGGGCGTTGTCAGTACCAGATCCAGACCGGTCCTCGCCGCGGTTTCGTTTGCGGTAGGCTTGGTCACTCCACTCCCCGCTGTTTTCGTCGCCTGGACGACCTCTTTCGTCAGCGCTTCGGCCCGTCGCCAGACCTCCCGGACTGGCACAGTTTGCTTAGTCGTAAGATTCAGATTTTTGATATGGACATGGATGCCATTGTTTCTGCTCTGCATGTGATGTATGCTGATGACTCTAGTGTGCTTCCCGCTTATTACTCACTGTTGCCTAGTGTAGGTGTGCCTAGCTTAGCCTCCCCTGCTGCGTCAGGCGTAGGATCCCCTGCTTTGTGTAGTCTTGGTGCTTCTGCCGTCGTTCCGTTGCCAGACGCCTCTGATTCGCTTTCCTTCACCTTGGACTCTGGCGCTTCTCGGTGTTTCTTCCGCGACTCCACCACCCTGACGCTGCTTCCTGTCCCAGCTGCCGTCTCTCTTGCTGACCCCTCCGGCGGTCCGGTAGTCGCCCGCAGTTCCACCACCCTTTCCTGTCCGGCGGTTCCTTCGAGCACTCTCACAGGTATGCATATCCCCTCGTTCTCCAGGAACCTAGTTGGTGTCGGCTGCCTGCAGGACCTTGGCGTCACCACTACGTTACTTGGTCACGAGCGGTATGCTGTCTGTACCGAGGCCGCCACTGGTGCCCCCCTGTCCACGTTCCCCCGGGACCCGGTGTCCGGCCTGTTCACTCTGGACACCGTGACCCCCCCGGCTGGGGTGCCCCCTCAGGTGGCTGCGTCTACCCAGGTTGCTGCTGCCTGCTCCTGTCGGTCCCTCACTCACCCGACTCTCCTTTGGCACCACTGCCTAGGTCACCCTGCGCTCCCGTGTCTGCGTCACATGTCCCAGCACGGTCTTGTCCTTGGTCTCCCAGGTTCTCTCCCCGCGTTTCCCTCCTCCCCAGCCCCACCTTGCACGCCTTGCGTCGAGGGTCGGCTCCGCCGTGCCCCTCACTCCTCCTCATTTCCCCCTACCGCCGCGCCGCTGCAGACCCTGCACCTGGACGTCTGGGGCCCCGCCCCCGTCCCTGGGCCGCGTCGAGAGCGCTACTTCCTTGTGCTTGTCGACGACTTCACTCGTTACACCACAGTCTTTCCCCTGGAGCGCAAGGCCGACGTGCCTGGCGCTCTCATCCCCTGGCTTGTCTCTGCGCGTGTCCACCGCGGTCTCCCTGTCTTGCGTCTTCACTCCGACCGTGGTGGCGAGTTTGCCTCAGGTGTCCTTGGTCGCTTTTGTCGTGCGGAGGGCATCACCCAGACGTTCACCCTACCGGACTCCCCACAGCAGAATGGGGTCGCTGAGCGACGCATCGGTTTGGTCATGGAGGTGGCTCGCACCTCCATGATCCATGCCGGTGCACCCCATTTTCTGTGGCCGTTCGCTGTACGCTACGCTTCTCACCAGCTTAACTTGTGGCCGCACCCTCAGCAGCCGCAGGTTTCGCCGACCCGTCTTTGGACTGGGTCTCCTGGTGACGCGTCTGCGTTCCACGTCTGGGGCTGCCTTGCTCACGTCCGTGCCTCCGGCACGGACAAGCTCACTGCCCGCACCCTTCCCTGCGTCTTCCTCGGTTTTCCCCTTGACGCGTCCGACTGGCACTTTTACCACCCGCCGTCTCACCGCTTCTTTCACTCTCGTGACGTCACCTTTGACGAGTCCGTCTCCTACTACCGTCGCTTCCCTTACCGTGGTCCCCCGGTTACCCCCCCCCTGTTCCTCGTCACTCCTTCCCCGGTAGTCCCTGCCCCTCCTCCTCCTCCTCGTCCCGCCCCCTCTGGTGTGTCCCACGTCACCCCCCTTCCTCCGGTGGACCCGGTTGAGGAGTCTTCTGACTCTGGTGGCCCTCCTGTTCAGTCCTCACCGGCCGCCCCTCCCCTGGCGTCCCCTCCCTAGTCCCCCCCTCCACCGCCTCTGCCGCCGCTGCAGCCGTCGTTGTCGCCGCCGCCGCCGCCGCTGCCACCGTCGTCGCAGCACCTGTTCGCTGACTCTGGGGGTGCTCCTCCCGGTAGCCCTGGGGGTAGTCCCTCTGGGGGTGTTGGTGTGGAGAGTGCCGGTGGTAGCCGAGGAGCAGCTTGCGGTCCCGGTGTCGCCGTTGTGCCGCCGCAGCAGCAGCAGTCCCCGCCGGTGTCAGCCCTTCGCCTGCTCGGCCTTCCGTCCCCCGACCCTGCGTCGGTTCCTCCCCGGCCATCTCCTCCTCTTCCTGTCTACGGCCCTGTCTTCCCTCCGCCGGACTCGTCCCCGGCCCGTCTTCCCCCTCGTTCCCCTCCTGTGTCCCCTCCT